AAGTTAACTATATGTTTTATGAGAAAATTCCTGGCGGGAAGTAAGAGATTTTCCTCATTTGCTCATGCAATTCTGACAAGCTCTTGACATTAACGCCTGATACCAAGTGTTTCTTGTTTCATCCTTGGTTCATGAATCTTGAAAAATTGTGCTTTCGGTTACTTCAAGCATTGAACCTCTCGGAATTATCAAATCTTTAGGATAGTAATGTAACCGTTGTGCTGCATCCGTCCACAGGGATTTTCAGCTCCACCTCCAAAGCGTTTCTGTTTTTGTTGTAAAGCACGTTTAACATCTCAACGAAGGGAAACATACCACGTACTTTTACTCTTGACGTCCTAAAGGCAAACAATAATTTTATTGATTGACTAAATAATGGCTATCAATGCCAACCGTTTCTGAACTATTTACACACTCGATTACATTTTACAAGTGTATATACCCACACGCGCATGCACGCACGCACGGGCATATACCCTTTACCAAGAAGTAAAGCTTGAGTTAATAGTAGCCTACTTTGTATCATTCATAACTAAATAAGACTTTGCTTAAGATCAGAACAATTTTTCATCACAGACAGCCAGATAGATGTGTACTGTGTTTTAAATTGGAAAAACACATTTCTACCTAACTCACTTACAAATAATATCGAATTGTCTTACCGTATTCCCCTAAAGATACGTTGGGTTTTTTTCATAGAAGAGACACCCAATGTATGCGTGACCTAATATCTATTAAAACAGCATCAACCTTTCCTGCTCTGAATTAAAGGAAGACATCGAGCGATATCCAAAGACTAGCAGACTTAACGTCACACGTGATCTGAACATCACGTCAACGGAATGCCTGTTCTATACAGGGCAAAAGTAACGTCTCTTCTAGGTGTATACAAATAAGTCTAAATAATGCATGCGAAAATATATCTCCCGTTTTAGGATTAGCAAAGAGTAGGCCATAACAGCCTTATAGCAATCGGTTTATTGTCCACATGGTCAGAATGGTGTTTGTAACGCCAAATCTTCCATAAGAACCTCATGTTATTTACGGTTTCGGTTTGAGATACATTAACATTCTAAATCATAACAGGTACCTTTGCCTTTCAGTACCAGATAATTAAGGTTTACACTGTTTGCAAAACATGCTTATACGTTTAGAGAACACTCGGTATCCCAGCTGATTTTCAGTGAGTCATATACATGTATATTGATTTCATCGCTATCTTGTCTTTTACACCCAATGAAATCTATTTTACAGATAATTCAGACTGAATTCTTCTTAATATATACAGAGGTAGCACATAATTATCAACTTCACTTAGAATGAACAGGTACGCAGGAGATGGCTTAATCCTATTTTATCAGTATATTTCAATATAAAATGTTTCGTATTTGTAAATCATTGATAATATAAGGACAATGACTTGCTATGTAGAGAAATTGTAAATTTTGTGGACGAAAATATTCAAACTATTCGAGTGAGTGAGTTCAGTTTTACGCCGCAATATTCCAGCTATATGGCGGTGGTCTGGACCAGACAATCCAGTGATCAACAGCATGAGCATCAATCTACGCAATTAGGATACGATGGCATGTGTCAACCAAGTCAGCAAACCTGACCACCCGATCCCGTCAGTCGTCTTTTACGACAAGCATGGGTTGCTGAAGACCAATTCTAACCCGGATCTTCACGGGTCTCAAACTATTCGAAGTTTCAGTTAAGTGACATAAATATTTGTGTTTTTAACCGTAGTGCAGGTAAACAAAACGCATGTTATGTCATTAATAAAGCACAGGCCCAGCCAAAATAATAAACAAAAGCGATAAAAATCATTTCCATAATTATTAGAAATTTGTCAAGTCAATTGTACCATTCCGATTTTATCATTACCATGTGATTTTGTATCAAGAAACAATATAACCTATGTATCACGTATGAAGTGATTTTCCCGTTTATATACTGATTTTGACTTGGGTTTTCCAATTAACACTCCTCCCTATATAAACCAATAAACGTTTTTCCTTGCCTGACCAGGATTGTAGTTGTAGTGAGTGAGTGAGTTGGGTTTTACGCCGCTTTTTATTCCAGCAATATCACGGCGGGGGACACCAGAAATGGGCTTCACACATTGTACCCATGTGGGGAATCGAACCCGGGTATTCGGCGTGACGAGCGAACGCTTTAACCACTAGACTAACCCACCGCCCGATTGTAGTTGTAGGTGTTGTATAGCGGCGCTGTAGGTGGAACTGTAGCCAAGTATTGGATCATCACGTCAAAGACTCAGTTCGATTCCTTATATGGGTACAATATGTGAGACCAATCTTCGGTATTCCCTGATGTGATATTCCATGAATATTTTAAACTAACTCCAACTCATTAACGAAATATCGTGGCGTTTAATAAAATATGCACATTTTAGTGTACTTGATCTGATCTGTGAAGTCAGTCTCCTTCCACCGATCAACGTGTGAGTTAGAAATAGTAACGGCGCTCAACGGAATTTCAATGGAATAATAATAAGAACCATATTTTTTATATTTTTCCACAAAGCCTATCGTGGATTTATATACAGCAGAAGTAGTAGTTGTAGTGGTGGTGATGCTGGTAGTAGTAGTAGTAGTAGTAGTAGTAGTAGTAGTAGTAGTAGTAGTAGCGATGTGGTGGGAGATGGTGGGGCGTTAGTATCAGTATTAGTGGTGGTGGTAGTAGTAGTAGTAGTAGTAGTAGTAGTAGTAGTAGTAGTAGTAGTAGTTGTTGTTGTTGTTGTTGTTGTTGTTGTTGTGCTGGTAGTAGCAGGAGCAGAAGTAGTAGTAGTAGCAATGGTAGCGGTTGTAAAAAAACTGCATGTCATAATTTAAGGAATAACAATAAGTGTTATTACTTGTCACGATGCCTAGACCCTATATATGAAATGCTTAACCCAGTTATGCCCAGCCTGAATGTTGATTGCTTGTTGATTACAGTTTGCTATGGAACGTGGCAACAATACTTAGACTAACGTACCCCACGTTCCTGACAATAATTTGCCATTGGATCAGTGAATATTTCCATTACGTTTTTTATTCTGTTAACTGAAGATGCACACATTCAAAGTAACTGTACAACTGGTGGTGATGGTGATAAAATAGTTAGTGATATACGGAAGGTGATAACAAATTAGAGACTGACATACACCACTTGCTTGACAATATCCTGTCATCGGATCAGTGAATATCTACAGTACGTTTGAAGTTTTAGTGTCATTGTGAATGGAAGAGGGACACTCGCAAAGTAATTGCACAACTGCATTAAGTGTTTTTATTTCTGGAAGTGTACCTTGGAGGAAAATAACTCGTACCAGTTCAATACAGTCGATCTGTCCATACCAGGCTTCGTGTCAGTGTAGTTCTAACGATGATTTACGCAAACCATTAATTCTTTTTTCTCAGTATTTTTTTTTCATTTTTTATTTTTGTCATCGTGGCCCCAGAAGCTGATATCGACCTTCCTTACCTACTACAGAGATTTTACAGCGTTTCAGTGCCGCTACATGGCCGACGTGGGCATCGTTGTGTAGGCTATCGATCCCCTTAACGTCATGACGATCTACTGGGTACTTATTTGGCAACAATGCAGAGAGTTTTGCCTGGTGACGTCAATGTTTTGGCTGTAGATGTAGTTGTGGTCGTTTTGGTTGTAGTAGTTGTGTTGGTCGTGGTGGATGAAGTGGGTAGCAGTAGTTGTAGTGGTTGTCGTAGTTGTAGCGATATTTCTAGCTGTAGCAGCGGTGATGCAGTAGTTGTCGGGAATGTGGTAGCTTAGGTAGTAGTGGTAGTGATGGTGGTGATTGGGGCGACAGTAGCATTAATAGTAATAGTAGTAGTAGAAGCATCAGTAGTAGTAGTAGTAGTAGAAGTAGTGGTAGCAGCAGTGGTGATGGGGTCGACAGTAGCATTAATAGTAATAGTAGTAGTAGCAGCATCAGTAGTAGTAGTAGCAGTAGTAGTAGTAGTAGTAGTAGTAGTAGTAGTAGTAGTAGTAGTAGTAGTAGTAGTAGTAGTAGTAGTAGTAGTAGTAGTGAGGTGAGATGAGGTGAGCTGAAATTGGGTTTAACGTCGCGCTGGAGAATATTTCGCTCATATGACGACGTGCATGTGTGTGTATGTGTATGTGCGGCTGCTTGTACTAGCCCAGACTTAAGCTGGTTTTATAGTGCTAGCTCACTGAGGTACCATGCCGAAGTGAAGCATGAATACCCCACTCAGACACATTATACTGACTCCGAGCCGACCAGTCCTTGTTGTACCCATTAATGCCGAGCGCCAGGCAGGGACCTACAAGTACCATATTTTAACGTCTTTTGGTATGACACGGTCGGGGATCGAACCCGCCACCTTCCGCTCTCCGGGCGGACGCAGTAGTAGTAGTAGTAGTAGTAGTAGTAGTAGTAGTAGTAGTAGTAGTAGTAGTAGTAGTAGTAGTAGTAGTAGTAGTAGTAGTAGTAGCAGAAGTGGAGATGGTGGGGGCGATAGTAACAATATTAGTGGTGGTGGTTGTAGTAGTAGTAGTAGTAGTGTTATAAAAACTGAAGTAGCTGTAGTAAATAGGTGTAGATGTAGTAGCTGCATATGATGATGTATACGACGTTCCCAAACTGAAGGCATGACCTTACAACTTGGAAATTGGATCAAATGCACACATTTGAAGTGTTATTAGGGACTAAAACGTCTACTGTGGTTTAGTCATGTTCACGCATAAGAGCATGATAACATCACTCGTTCTAATTTATAATAAAAGATGTTCATTACATTTTACAGTTAATGCAACTGTCGAAAAACATTGTTTTTAAAGGGATAGATGCAATAAGTGAAGATCGCTGATATTATTTATTTTTGTCCATGGCGAGAATCTTACGAAAATCCATCACTACAACAATGCACACGGCTTTATTATGAATCATCAATCTTTAATTCATATATTCATATATTCATATATTCATTCCATAAGACAAAAACAAGGAATCAGTCGAAATGTTTTTAATCTCTCTTGTCAATAATTACAAACAATTGAAGGTTAAAACAAAATATTGTAAATTCCCTCACAGGAAACAACATTATGCAAATCATGTGAAATAAATTATTTAAAAAAGTATTCAAGTTCTTACTGTACATACAAAGCATAGCTCACCTGGTAAAAGTACAATGAAGCATCATCCTGACTAGATTCGATAGTATTACAGGTGAGCTACACAAAAGACTATACTATACTACTAAGACAATTTTCTACTAACCAAGAGTGGTGTTATGGACTTCACTTCGACATGGAATTTGATTCAGTTTGATTTCGTTCAATAACTGTTAAATAAAGTTCCAAAACCGGAACAGGCCTGAAGAGTACAATACCATAATCTTGAACTTGGTACAGGATATATATACAATTATGAGACGCTTCCGCCTGAGACAGTTTGCTCTTCGAGGGGAGGGGGGATTTGAAATACAACATATCATATACTCCGAATGTAATTTTGTATCTACATCTATGAAAGAAAGGACCTGATCCTAAGAGATCAAAGCATTAAAATCCAGGATTTGAACGATCAGGGTTTTCTACAAAACAACTTGGACGTTTCAGACCTCTTGGCCATCTGATTTCGGTGTGAACGTACACATATATTTCGATGTTTCCTTAAACCTTTTCGAAGAATGTAAGTAAGGTCCTTTTCGTATGTCACGAGAATCAATATTCTGATATGGACATGAGAAAGCTCTAACAATTCGGTGGTATAGGGAAAAAACACAAGCATGTCTTTTATGCTATCTGGGCATGTCTTGGTAATAGGAGAGGAGTCAATATTGTTTTAGGCCGCTTTAAACACTGTTTCGGTTACATCGCGGCATGTCAGCTTAATGTTGAATCAAAGCCCGAACAGAGGCAGATAAAAAACATTGCAACTTTGGTAAAACATGGTGCTGACAAACCTAGAACAATAGTCGTGGCGATAGTTTCCAGCGTATCCAAGGGACGCAACTCTGTACCATGAATTGCGGCGCCTAAAATCACTGGGCGCTGAGCGCCCGTGGTTTTTGTTGACAGAGCGGCCTTTGAAACTAACTCCTTCAGAATGGCTTAGACATCTACTAACATAATAAACCAGGGCATTATGTTCGATATATCGGGGTATAGAAATACACCTGCAAGATATGGCGTGTAAACTATACTTGACAAAAGGGTTTGGGACACATTAATTATTCCTGGGACATCATAAAGAGGACAGAATGATATACATATATTAGGAGCATGAGATAACATGAATCTCCATGATAGAGCAATGATATACAGAATAATACGAGACCGGGCACGATATGATATATATGACATAACTGACATGGAATAAAACAATGCACAAAAGAGATGAGATAAAATGATAACATAACGGGGGCACCAGATAAAAACAATAGAATACTGATATGAACGAGGTTAGGGGTGAACAAAATATATTTTTGAAGGGACGTGGGATAAAAATGATAATACAAAAGGGCATCAAATGAAGTACTATTTTACATGTGGGGCACAAAATATATTAACATTATTCTAAATAACTGGGCATCAGATAAAACAGTGGCATTCCCCACTTGAGGGCACTAGATAAAATGGAAGTTTTCTGCATGAGTATAGCAAATATAATAACAATATTTTCCTTAAGGGGGCACAAGAAAAATAACGGTATTCTACACAAGGAGGCACCAGATAAAATAGAAACGTTCTACACAATGGGCCACCAGATAAAATGGAAGTATTCTAGACAAGAGGGCAGCAAATACAAAAAAACGTATTCTACTTAAGGGGCACCAGATAAAATGTAAGTTTCCTACATGAAGGGGCACCAGCTAAAAAGGAAGTATTCTAAATGAGGGGGCACAAGATAAAATAACATTATTCTATATAATGGGCATGATTTTATAATACAATTGCATAATGTGGGGCATGATGTTAATCAAGGAACGTGTGAGAGACATGAAACAGTTTCTATACAAGGGGCATGATATGTATGCGACTACCCCAGCTAGCACTTGGAAGTGTTATAGCACTAAAATGCTAGGTTCTAGCATCTTTACCACACAGTAAACACAGTACATGTTATCTGTTTATCAGGTGAGCTATGTCAGACTAGAGAGTTATTAAATCCATACTTGTTGACCATCGTAAACATGAGCGTTCACCATCCGCACTAAATCGTCGATATGTTGAATAACCAGGAATTCCTGGAACTCTATGGCCAGTGCCAGTCTCAGTACACCACTGATTTCATTTGCAGAGTCAGCAGTAATTCTATGTACAGTATGTACAAACGGCGAATGACGGGCCTAGTGCGCATAGTACGTCCCAAGATGTGAGCTGAAATGGCCCGTATGGTGGGGTATCACTGGCCCCGGGATCCCCGAGAATAGGTTACTGTTCGTATTGGCCCAGTACCCCGTGTTGCCCCCGTACAGACCCGTGGCAGCGGAGGAAATGGTTGAGTGAGCCGTAGGGAACTTTGGGCTTGGGTAACCCGACATGAACATGTCCTGTTGGTAGCGGAACGCCGAAGTGTCTCCGGAATTCTGTTGCAGGCACTGAGCCAAACCGGCAAAGTCAAACTTATAGGCGTATCTCTTGCCGTGGACCTTTGTCATGATGTTCTTGTCGTAGTAGTACCGCAGTGCACGACTCAGTTTGTCGTAGTTCATGTTGGGCTTGCTTTTCCTCTCCCCCCAGCGTCTGGCGACTTCATCCGGATCCACGAGTTTGAACTCCCCGTTTGTCCCCTCCCACGTGATGCAGGCGGCGTTCTGACTGTCCGACAACAACTCCAGCAGGAACTGCCATAACTGGATCTGACCGCTGCCTGGAAAATAGAGGACAGAGAACATGAGTATACATGGATAGAGGAGGGTAGAAAGTATGAGTATATATGTACTGAGGAGAGTAGAGAGCATGAGTATATATGTATAGAGGAGAGTAGAGAGCATGAGTATATATGTATGGAGGAGAGAAGACAGGATTAGTATATATGTATGGAGGGGTGTAGAGAGAATGAGTATATATGTATGGAGGAGAGTAGAGAGCATGAGTACATATGTATGGAGAAGTATTAAGAGCATTTATATTTGTATGGAAAGAGTATGAGTATATTTGTATAGGAGGAGAGTAGAGGGCATTGGTATATATGTATGGAAGAGAGAAGACAGCATTAGTATATATGTATGGAGGGGTGTAGAGAGAATGAGTATATATGTATGGAGGAGAGTAGAGAGCATGAGTATATAAGTATAGAGGATAGTAGAGAGCATGAGATATATATGTATAGAGGCAGAGAGATATGTATGGAGGAGGAGAATAGAGTATGAGTACATATGTATGGTAGTATTATATGTATGGAGGAGAGTAGAGAGCATGAGTATATATGTATGGAGGAGAGTATATAGAGCAGCATGAGTATATATGTATGGAGGAGAGTAGAGAGCATGAGTATATATGTATATATGGATAGAGAGAGTATGAGAGCATGAGTATATATGTATGGAAGAGTAGAGAGTATATATGAGTATATATATGTATGGAGGAGAGTAGAGAGCATGAGTATATATATGCATGGAGGAGAGTAGAGAGCAGGAGAGCGGAGAGCATGAGTATATATGTATGGAGGAGAGTAGAGAGCATGAGTATATATATGTATGGAGGAGAGTAGAGAGCATGAGTATATATGTATAGAGGAGAGTAGAGAGCATGAGTATATACGTATGGAGGAGAGTAGAGAGCATGAGTATATATGTATGGAGGAGAGTAGAGAGCATGAGTATATATGTATGGAGGAGAGTAGAGAGCATGAGTATATATGTATAGAGGAGAGTAGAGAGTATGAGTATATATGCATGGAGGAGAGTAGAGAGCATGAGTATATATGTATTGAGGAGAGTAGAGAGCATGAGTAGATATGTATGGAGGAGAGTAGAGAGCATGAGTAGATTTGTATGAGGAGAGAGAATGTCATGAGTATATATGCATTGACGTATAAGTATTAATATCAGGCTTTGTGCTGGACCACTTCTATTATTTTATTCAGTAGTAGTAGTTGTTTTGTAGTAGTAGTAGTAGTAGTAGTAGTAGTAGTAGTAGTAGTAGTAGAAGTAGTAGTAGGAGTAGTAGTAGAAGGAGGAAGGGGAGGGGGAGGAGGTAGAAGAAGAGGAGGAGGAATCACAAATCCGTGATTAAACATTCTTCCAAGATGTTAAAAATAATGAATTCATTCTTAACATCAGATTTAAGTTTTTGGAAAATTACTTTCGGTTTTAATGTCTCATATTTACCTGAGCTTGACAGTCTTGTTGCAATCGGTGTGAAAAGGTCGTACGGATCTATGGAAAGAAAGGCACAGTTAATATGTGTTTACCCAATACCCGACAACAGAAAATACTGCCAGCTATTTCAGTTACGCTTCAACACATAATAACAGCAACAGCTATTATTTTCTCGTAAACTGGCAAACCCCTTTGTTGTGCTGGCTATTGCCTGCGAGGTCTCAAACACCTGAATACATGATACACATTTAATAGATTCAGAAGTGTGCGGTTATGAATTGAATCACGTTTAGATTTAATTTAAACTCCATTCAATCCTAAATTTGAACTTTTTACGCCCACCGCGAACTCAACGGGAATGATTTTTTAACCTCTGGTCTGAAAGCAATAAATTGTTGTTGCGACTTAAACAGTTGCAATGAGTTAGATAATAACGCCCGTATAGAAGTCGCAAAAAACACTTCATAATGGGTAGGAAGTTCTGCTGATGGCGATCTCAAGCGCCCAGTCATTAGTGGGTAACAGGTGGAGACAGTGTATTGAAATCACAAATCTCGTGTGAATCATGTTTTAACAGTTAGCACATGTTTATAACAAATGACAAAAACATTGATTTGTACATCAGTACGCTTATGGTCTGTGAAATCGCATTTTCAAATCTATTGTTACCCCATGGTAACCATGATAGCTGAGCTGATGGAGTCGATATGGAAAGGAAAATGAAAAGGAATGCCAGCTAAACTGAATAACTCGTAAAGATTTTTTCCCTAGCTGAACAAAAAGAGATTGAGTGTTTGTTGAGGCGTGTATTTTAGCGGCCTCAGAGAAAGACTCGGCACAGAGGTCAGACAATTGCATTACAAGTGTCTAGTGTTAAGAAGGCTAACTGAATTGGGCGATAGGACAAGCCCACAGCGACTGTCGAGTCCGACAGATGCGAAATGGCCGTAACATGCAACTATCGTGCAGCTATTGTGCAGCTTCAGGCTGTTACTTCATATACCAATGCTACACAAATTGATGCACTGCAGCGTTCAACGTTAGAAAATCCACTGTGTTCAAATTAGACTGTTTTCAAAAGGCCAACCTCTGAACCTCGAAGTGAGCGTAAGAAGACTAAAATAGCTCATGATATTAATATTAAATTATGAACTTTAATTGTCGGGATACATGAGGTTATTTTTTTAGTTCACATGTTTACAATGTCAGATATAAAATAATTTCCAGGCCATAAAAAGTTCTTTTACGAGAATACATGTTCCACTATAATGAAAAATCTTTGACAAAACAAATGCTCTGTTATAAAGAAGGGATAATATTTGTACAAGAATAAACGGTCTGTTAAAAGAGCAATGACTTCGTATATTTTAAAAGGCTAGTTTTATAAAGGAACCTTTGCTAGTTGATTTAACGCACGGTTTGGTAAAGGAGCAAATATTGTATTTAACAAAATAAAGGTCTACAGAACGGCCCGAACGGTTAATCCGTAAATCAGAACCGTCTCGATTCCTTTATGCATCATTTAAGAATTTCCTTTTTAATCACAAAACTATTTTCTGGAAAAGCGTGAAGAACAAATATTAGCTACCACTGTGAATTCGCTCTACACCGTGAACACGTCCTAAATTCCCAATACTTCACAAGAACAAATCAAATATCCATAATGAGAATTTTAATCAACTCCTGGATTAACCGAACGTCGGTGACGCCGCTCGGCTAAAACAGAGTAACTGTCCTGTGAAGGACACCTGCGTCATTGCGTGACGTCACAAGGGCACAGGTTCTACTTGCTTCAATGGCGGCTCGCGACAGTCATTTGACAACGCGAGCGGACATCCCAGGTCAGTGCAGAGCACAGTCATAATTTCCTTTTCAGCAAACACGAGCATTCATGGCGAACAGCCCTTCAATCTAGGCAGGGTCACTGCAGGTCACGGGTGGCTGAACAACGTGGAACGACGCTCGGGTAGTCTCGACGTGGCACGCGTCAGTCGCGTGTCACTGGGAGGTACCTGGAGGAAGGGAGCGTCCGCTCGGTGACATGCGCTACCTGGGGTCACTGCGTTCGTGAAGAGGGGAGAAAGAAGGCGGAGGGGGGAGACTGTTTTTGAAATGGGGCTGTTAGGGAAGTTAATTTTCATTTCACGAAAAGAGTTCCTTTTTGCTTATTTGTTTGTTTGTTTGTTTGTTTGTTTGTCGTTTAACGTAGCATACAGCCATATTCCAGCTAGATAACGCAGTCTGTAAATAATCGACTTTGGACCAGACACTCCACTGATTGACATTATGAACATCGATCTACGTATTATGAGCATCTAAATCAGATTACATATAGGGTAGATTTAGGACAAAAAAATGACCTTTCTAAACATGGAAGAGACAATTGGTTTCTCTCACAGAGCGCAGGTCACAACAGCCAACAAATTACGTTTTCATACCATTGTGGTTACACGTCTAGCAATTACAAGTAATTTCAATGTAATGTCAAAATAAGTCCGGGTTCGAATCCCCACATGGACACAATGTGTGAAGCCCATTTCTGGTGTCCCCCGCCGTGATGTTGCTGGAATATTGCTAAAAGCGGCCTAAAAAACCAAACTCAGTCAGTCAGTCAGTCAAAATAAGTATCACGAAGCTAAGACTTTCGTATATTAACGATATGAATTTCTTATTTATATGTAAATAACAGCGATTTCTTATCACAGGATATTTGTAATTAAAGGAGTCCATTGTCCCATTCGGACTAGAAATGTTTTTATGTCGAATAGTGATAGAAATGTGTTTATGTCGAATAGTGATTATACCAGGTGTTTGCGAACAAGTGAGCATATCCTGCCCCACTGGTGGCACCTATCACAAACACATGCAAAGGCAGTAAATTATTCACCTGAACAAACACATGATACACGTCTAAACTGCATTAGACATCATTTAAGACAGTGATGTATCATTTTGGACAAAGATAGCATAGAGCTCAGGTCACAAATCAGGCGCGGAGTGACCTTGGATGGGTGACCGTGTTTGGCAGCTTGACTCCTGAGAGTTTCTAGGGCTTCAGTCCTGCCCCACAAAGAAGCACATGTGATACATGTGGTCTCACCGTAGTCAAGTGAGTTTGTTCAAAATGCCTCTGTTCACCCAGCAGAAAATGGGTACCCGGTGGAATAAGTCCTGAGACAATTAACCTTCTAGCGCCTCAAAGGCAGCTTGGGTTATCCGGGGTAATAATAATCAAATTGTGCGCTTTGAGCAGAATATGAAGCCTTGAAAGTCGCGATAATATTATTCTCATTTATATTATAAATTCTATCCATAGATATTTGTTATGATGAGCAATTCTTTTAAAGGTTCTTTCACGCTTGGCTCGGGCAATAAATGCAAGGTTGAGACTGCCAAACTCACACAACCCAAAGACCTAACCATCGTCACTTCACTTCAAGCCATAAAAGATGAACAATGAAATACTGATAATTGAAAATGAATTTAACCGCAGTGCACTGTACCTTCAATTCTTCATATGCATTTTCAAATCTACGTCACAAAAACCTAAATCACATCACACATCCCATAGATATACGCATGTTTTTCAGCCAGTTAGAAAGGCAATTAGCTTTATTTTGTCTCCGTGTTTTTTCCACGTAGTATCGTTTTTGCGGATTCCTGTCTGACAGGGTTAACAAGAACACATCGTCCATCCTTCCCCGCATCTGTCTCCCCGTAATGAAAATGAGAAATCTAATCTGGGGGAAACCTTTGAAACGCCACAATGCAGCGACCAATCTACGGCGCAGCCGACGTCGAAAGGTTTCTTTGATATATTTCGGAAATCCGCAGGGGGAATGGACGTTGTATCACAAGCATGGTGTCTTTAAAGTTTGCAGCTCACAAGCATAATACAGGAAGCATACGGGGCTTCCTATTGTTAGTGTCCCTTCATATCCTTCCGCTACGGGTAATCGACAATGACACGATAATAGGACACACAAAGTAGGCCCTCCGTTGATGCTTAGTGGATTCAGTTATACCTGGATGCTGACACGAGAAGGAATACCTTCAAGTGCCAGACCGTTGTTTTGCCATTTTCTCACAACGCATAATTATAGGTCATTCTCCTGACGCTAGCAGAAATGTTATTCTAGAACTAAAGCTTATACTAGTATTGAGTTATTCTAAAATTACTCTAGAAATGTAGCAGTGGTTGTTATTTATTGAAATGTTTGTTAATACTAATTAAATCACCAAATCAGTTGCCAAGTATAAAAGGTAAGGTCAACACTTGCTGCAGTACAGCTGAAGTACTGATGTAGTCTGTCTCACAGTCCCTGAACCACATTATTTTCCCTACTGCCAAGCCCTCTCTGCAGTGCTAAAGCCCTAAATAAAGCAAGTCTAGATTTCCTTAGGTTCAGAATCTCTGGTCTCCCTGGGGCTCCTTTTCAATTTAAATGGGCTTGTTTGTTACTATCAAAATTATATATATTCAGAGACTAAGCATTAGTCTAGTACTGATGGTGTTGCTGCAAATATATTGATTCTGTTGCCCACTTACCTAACATTATCTTGGTTCAAGGTTTGTAAGTTTGACATTTAGTTAAACAGTGTAGGTAAGGGTTTATACGCAAGAATATGTTTATATTAAATACATGCTCGTTCTTTCTGGTAATTAGTCACGATATGGCTGAAATATTGCCGATGTGACTTTACATCTTAACTCACTCACTCTTTCTGGTAATACTGTAGTATTGAGTATAGACGTTTCCTTGAATAACTCTGACGCCCTGATCCATATCATATGATATAACATTACATAAGTATTCAATACACTTTATATTCATACTTATATAATAGTACACGAATACGCTATTTATTCATACTTACAAAACTGTACACAATTACACTACATATTCATACTTGCACACATACAGAAAAACATAATAATTAATTATATTTATAGTAGTAGTGAATCAGTTATTAGGTACCCCGTATAATTTCATTGCATGATAAAGCATATTAGAAAGTAGATCAGTAGTTTTTTCTCACTCAAAGAACGAAGGCTCATCTGTACAAGGGAACAGCTCATGTACAAGCTAGCAACCCTGTCAGAGACCAGTTATTACTTTTGGCACTGCTTCAAGACGTATGGATATTTCCATTTAGCCAAACACTTCTTTCAGGATATCCCGCTCTTCCAGCAAGCACTTCTTTTTTGTGAAGTAGAGGCCCACTCGTCATTTTCCTGTAGGTGTTATTTCTCCTATAAACCTCCATCAGTCCATGGTAAACGAGCATCACTAAATGTTTGTGTAAGATAGGGATTACTGTGTAACACTGCTCTTGTCCTTTTCTACAAATCTCAGTCTCCTCGTACAACCTAAGCCTTCACGTACATCTCAGTCTCCACGTACAATATGCATTCCCGTAAATCTCAGTCTCCACGTACAATCTCAGTCTCCACGTACAATCTCAGTCCCCATGTGCAATCACAGTTACCATTCCAATTTTACACATACAATCTAGGTCAACAAATACATTCTCAGTTAACACATACATTATGAATTAACAGATATACTTCGAGTTTGCACACACATTCTATGTTATAACATACATTCCCAGTTAACACATACAAATTTCAGTTATCACATACATTCTCTATTATCACATACATTTTTATTCTCACATACATTCTCTGTTACCACACACATTTTTGTTATCACATACATTCTGTTATCACATACATTTTTGTTATCACATACATTCTCTGTTATCACATACATTCTCTGTTATCACATATATTTTTGTTATCACATACATTCTGTTATCACATACATAATATGTTATCACATACATTTTTGTTATCACATACATTCTCTGTTATCACATACATTCTGTTATCACATACATTCTCTGTTATCACATACATTCTCTGTTATCATATACATTTTTGTTATCAAATACATTCTTTGTTATCACATACATTATATGTTATCACATACATTCTCTGTTATTACATACATTTTTGTTATCAAATACATTCTCTGTTATCACATACGTTTTTGTCATCAAATACATTCTCTGTTATCACATACATTCTCTGTTATCACATACATTATCTGTTATCACATACATTTTTGTTATCACCTACATTATATGTTATCACATGCATTATATGTTATCACATACATTCTCTGTTATCACATACATTCTCTGTTATCACATACATTATATGTTATCACATACATTCTCTGTTATCACATACATTCTCTGTTATCACATACATTATATGTTATCACATACATTCTCTGTTATCACATACATTCTCTGTTATCACATACATTATATGTTATCACATACATTTTCTGTTATCACATACATTCTCTGTTATTACATGTATTTTGGTTACTAAATACCTTACTGGCCATCACATACATTCTCAATTACCACATAACTTCTCATTTTACACACGTACATTCTAAATTATGAAATGAATTCTAGTTAATATATACATTCTTGGATGACGCATACATTCTAATATTGACACATACATCCTCAGTTAACACATACATATAAATGTCTTCACATACATTCTCTGTTATCACATACATCACCTGTTAACATATACATCTACAGATAACACATGCATTCCTAGCCGACACACACATTCTCAGTCAATGCATACATTCTCAGTTCATATAAATTCTCAACTAGCAATTGAATTCTCAATTAAAACATACATTCTTAGTTAACGCATACGTTCCCTGTCAACAAACAAATTCTGTGTCTCATCTAAACACACAAAATTAATCTACTCTGGTCGATTTCTGTTTTGCCATTTAAAACACATACAAAATAAGGTCAGTGCATTACATACCTCGTGTATATCTGATATATGCCCATGTTATTAAAAGCCTTATACATGCCCATGTTATTAGATATTGGTTATGTCACTACGTACTTGGTGCATGTCCTTGTTATTACATATATAAAATGCGTGAATGATAAATACTTGGTATTTGTCCCTGTCATTAGAAACCAGGTATATGACCCTGTTATTAAATACTTTGTAGTTGTCCCTGTCATTAGATTCCTGGTATGTGCACATGTTATTACAAATTTGGTATTTCCCAGTGTCATTAGATTTCTGGATTGTGCCCCTGTTATTAAATACCTGGTAAGTGTCCCTGTCATATAATTCCTGGTATGTGCGCCTGTCATTACATAATTGGTATTGTGTCCCTGCCAGTAGATTCCTGGTGTGTGCACATGTTATTACAAGCTTGGTATTTGTCAGTGTCATTAGATTCCTGGTATGTGCTCCTTTTATTAAATACTTGGTACTTGTCCCTGTCATTAGATTCCTGGTATGTGCCCCTGTTATTAAATACTTGGTATTTGTCAGTGTCATTAGATTCCTGGTATATGACCCTGTTATTAAATACTTGGTATTTGTCCTGTCACTAGATTCCTGGAACGTGCCCATGTTATCAAATACCTGGTACGTGACCAAACCCTCAGATTCCTGTCCATCACAAAATATAATGTGGTTATTTAACAATGTTATGAGATGCTTGGTCTATGTCCAGTTCATGAAACATGTGGTATGTACCCATGTTATTAAGTGGTGTATGACCATGTTATTAGAAGTTTGGTATGTGTAATTAGATAATTGGTTTTGTACATGTCATCTCGTTAGCACCCATGTATCAGATGCTGGGTTTATATCCCTGATTTGGATTCCTTATTTAAATCAATGTTATTAAACCTGAATCCCTCTCATGATTTAAGATCAAGATCCGGTAATAAGCATACAACGGTTAAAGAGAAAAACTACTTTGTAACAATACAACAATTATTAATATGTAATGCCTTACTTTGTGGTCTCCACTGCGCATGCGCATGTGGGCTCTCGATATTTGGCTTCATGCTTGTGATTGATGTTGGCGGGTAAGCTGAAACGAAAAATAGCCATTAAACATCTATCAATCTATAAACAACGTATAGACGACAAAGACAATATTCTGTTCGAAGTCCTAAGCCTCTATTATATTAATGATGGTATTGAGGTATTTTCTTGTTATTCTTTAAGAAGTCTGAATGTGATGACTAACGCTACTGATACCAGTCAGTGAAAAGAATTTCAAAATCAATAATGATTCGATTTTTGGTCAAGTTTCTTAAACTGTTTACATCAGTACAAAGAAATGTTTATCTCTGAATATTAAAATTAACATGTTTTCCCAGATATCTCGTGTGATCACTTTTTGATAGTAATTCATAAACATATGCTAGAGATACATTCGGAATCGTACAAATAATGCCTACGTTCCCTAGAGATTCCTAATCATTTAGGAAATGTTTATTCATGCTTTTATGTAATGCTTTTACGAATGAAATATATTCGAGGACGTTATTGCTACTCCCAGCAAGCATTAGTTTATCTATTGTGGCTACAAATATTTTTCTATCACTCAAAGAAAGCTTTAATTAGATTCGAACCGTGACAGAAATTCTGCCTCTGTGTACTTGCAAACGCTACATTATATCGTTAACACTCACATAATTGTTATATTTGTGTGTCATACATCAACACATTTAAAACCAGTTATTTTAATCCTGTCAGATTTATGCATTATACGGATACAGAGGACAGTTATTAAAGACGTTTGGCAACCACAATCACAGATCTTTGTGGATATTAACATAAGCGTGCCTTCAATGCAATTAATCCATGTTACCCGATCATACGTTTTAGAAAAAAATACAATTTATTAGATCTGTTCGAGAGGAAACTGAGAAGATTGTTTCATCCAAATAGGGGCCAAGGAAATGACTTATCGGATCTTTAATTAGACCAGTGTGAGTTTATCATTCCTAAACCACAAACCAGACCGGTTTGTAGTGTTAGGTTACAAACATTTGACAAAACTAATACCATTTGAAATCTCCATTAACGAAAACAGGAGTAATCACCCGTTACTAGGCCGACATTTGATCTGCTATGACGACATGCCAAAAAGCGTTTCGAGTCATATGAGCCTGCGCAGTGAAGGTTTCCGTCTAATGGCATTGCTCGTCTCTTGACAGCTCCACGTAAAAGACTAATTTTAAAGGACAACAAAAATGTGTCTAAGAATTAACCACAGTACGCCCCCGTAACTCCCTTTTCTCGCCCCCCTTTGTCCTGTCTGAGCTCGCTGCGGGGTTACAAAGCAGAACAAACTGATGGCGGATCTCGTTCCTAACCCTTGTCATTTTACCGGTGAGCGTCGCTTGACAATCGGTGTTTTTCAGACTGGGATCTGTGCTTCATTAAACTGTCACCAACTTTTACGGGCGTAATTATAGGTACGTGCTTTGTTGGTCAGGCTAAGAGACATAATAATGACCAATACGGTATGGCACGTGGATAACGGTATTAAATAGCCTACTGACACGAAACCCTTCGCGCATATGTCGATTCATGATAGTTAAATATCGTTTATTAAAGAATGAAATTACATACAATTTTAACGTCAAACCTTCATATCATTTGATAGGGCTTGGATGTCGATAGATTTACACTGCAGATAATTAATAAATAATTCAAAAATAAAGTATACAATTCTATTAGCCGAGAATAATTAAGCTGGAGTGTCAACGGGCCTTGTAAACATGACATGGACGTTTAAGTGAACATTTTTGTAGAAATAATTTAAATCGCTCCAAATAATTTCGAGTCCTTATTTAAAACAAATCATGATTCATATTGCAGCAAATATTGGAGATGAACAATAGCGTAATACAGATAATAACCATAGTAGGTTCGACTTGGCAGAGCTTGGAGGAGTCCCAATTGCTGCTTGAACATTCCATTGTAGAAATGACAATAATAAAGAGATGATAATGCTAATAATGAAGAATCATCGTTATCATCATCACCATCATCATCTTATGATAAATATTAATAAACAATCTATTTACCTTGAGCAGCATGGTTAGGTTGAGGCGTCCAAGGCGACTTGGAAAATGGGGGTTCTGAAAACACACAAAAACAAAGTTGTGAGTCTCATGGTGCCTCAATGTGAGAAGTACAGTCGTTGGAGAAATATCCATTGAAGACTTTAACGTTGTGTGGGATGAAGGAACGCAGGCTTAGTTTATACCTGCGAAGACGAAGCTTGGAATCCCCGGAAATGAGCACGGCCGGAAGTAGTCCTGGCGTTTTAGAGAATGCATGGGGGACTTAATCTCCCAAGATTCCCGCCAAAGACTGAAAATATCTTGTTCCACCGTCTTCTCCAGCGTGACGGTTGGGGATTACACTACTCTTGTAAAAGACACCAATTCGGGCGTCCCTTTTTCCAAACTGGAGTTTGCTCTGGAAATCACACAGCCCCGCTGGAGAGTTCCGTATCCACTACCGCAATGGGGAAATTGTGTCTCATCACTCGTTACAATCACACAACTCGCACGGCGCCCTATTTCCCCCATAGCTTTATATACCAGTACTAATACAATAACTGTAATTTGCTACAACTAACCAATCAATTGACTCTATGCTGGCTCTATCAACCAATGTGCCAGCTAATCTTTCTCGGCGGGGAATCAATAAGGTGCTAAGTGGTGTAATGTGACCAAGCGACCACGTGCTCCTCATGTTTGCACGGAACTCGCCATCAGTAGGGCTTTTTGCGTCTCCCCTACCGGAGAGTTCAGAGGGCGGTCCCATTGGCTCTTTCCTCTCATAGACACTTCTCGTTCAGCTCTCGCCTCGTTGCACACGGCGATATTCGGAAGAGAGCTCGCTCAACGTCCGTTTTAAAATAATGAAATACTTTCAGTTTGCCAAACATTAGACGTTTCATTTCCATCAGAAAATAACGGCCGATGATAAACTGACGCGGAGACGATAGGAAAAAACGCCAAGTTTCTTTGACTTACAAGTCGATTCCGGTCGATGAATAGGCTTTCGCTCAGCATTTTGTCCGATGGAACATTTCATAATTTTATCTCACTTTACAAAAACACTCACTTTTATAATTTTGATTACATTTTCCGTTTATTCTTTTCAAGCAAAATAATTTTGTTTGCGACAGGTTGGTTTTCAAACATTGCGGATAACGTGTTTTATCGCCCGTGTTTGTCATGCAGTAATTGAGGTCCCACGGTTACCCAGTACTGGTCAACATGACAGAGCCGGAGACGAGATGTCCACCGCCGGAGCTGCTACTGTGGTTAATAATTATTCAGTCTAGATTATCGACAGTCATTGTAAGCTATCCTGGAAGCCGACACTGATACAAATCTGTGTCGCTGTTATCCTCCCACTGTGATTGCGCGATGATGTGGAGAAGTTTCAATATTTACTGTATTTCCTGCTATTTGAACGCGCAAGAAATGCTTTTAACCGGGATGTTTACACACCTTTTGAAACTCAGGAAAATGAAATTGCCGGTTCGTTTCCTAAACGTTCAGTGTCGTAATTACGAAAAGCGTTTACTAAGCGGTGCTGTTTGATAAATGAGCGAGAGTGTTGTTCAAACTATCATTTTACGCCTGAGCTCTTCAACAGCAGTGATTGTGTCAAAATTTATTGCCCAGGCAGTCTGGCATACGATGCCTCAATCGACACCATAAATGCGTTAGCGATCAGATTTGCTTCAGCCGAAAGGCCGTAATGACATTTTTAAATGTGTTAGCTTTGTGAAATTTGACATTTTCATTTTTTGTACCTGGATTATTTTAGCAGTAAATTGTGCAGTTATCATTTCCGAGTGAGTTATGACATCATTCTGATGCAAATGTTTACTTTCCGGGTATGATATTGAGACGACCGCTCCCTAGGATGTCTGTAGATCGAAGTACGGTAATGGCTTAACGCAGTAGACTGGCACAATGAGACTGTTCCGAAGTATGCTGTCACTTAGGAAATGTGTATACTTTATACATTATCGTCATAGGTTACAGAACTATTTATCCTGTTATTTTGATCACTGATAGAATTTACACTAAAACTAACTTTAACTCCAGCAACTGCCAGCATAATTCCAGTACAATTATTGGTGTGTTCTAGATGATCAATCTGATTACAAGCATTTCCTGATGGCAACATGGATATTGACACTATTTCAAAAATGTAATTTAATCTTCGCCCATACACAGTTAATCACCGAACTTTGATGTGTCGAATTCACGGTTGTCTCAAACTAAAACCTTGGTACCTGGTACTCCTTCAGTCATCAGTTTACGGTTGTGTCGAACTTCGGATAACTCGAAGTATAGACGTAAGTGCCTTCTACTTCGACACATCGGTATTTGACTGATCTTTCACTCAGTCGTTTTTAATCGCTAGCAAACTACACAAAAATGGATCACGATTTGCTGTCAATTTAAATGAATAAAGTCACTGATATTTTTTCGGATCACATTTTCGCGAGCACTGGCAGTTATTCACTAACACAGGCTTTTGATATAGTCAGAATCATACAACGGATTTATGATGTATCATTTCTTCGTTGAGTGACATTTTTTTTAAATTGAAGATTCAGATAACAACAACATTAATGTTCCACCACAAAACAAACTGTTATCATTTGCTTCCTTTGCTTATGACAGGTACACATATTTAAAACATTTAAGATTCCAAATGTATATCGTTCTATATCATTCCGAAATCTTCTTTGATTCTACACTGGGTAAACTCTGGGTTATCATAAAACAGAATAAGATCAATCACCGAAACGGTTCAAACAAAGGCTAAAGGCAAGATTTGGATTATAAATGTCACTGAAGGATAATACGTTCATTTATTTCCGGGGCGATGGGGTAGCCTAGTGGTTAAAGCGTTCGTTCGTCACGCCGAAGGCCCGGGTTCGACTCCACACATGGGTACAATGTAAGCCCATTTCTGGTGATATGGCTGGAATATTGCTAAAAGCAGCGTAAAACTAAACTCACTCATTCGTCTCCGTGTTCATAAATGCATCTAGTTCGGGGATGCCTAGGGTCATGAAAGAAAATGACTTTGAAGAGAGTGAGTGAGTGAGTTTGGTTTTACGCCGCTTTTAGCAATATTCCAGCAATATCACGGCGGGGGACACCAGAAATAGCCATAACACATTGTACCCCTGTGGGGAATTTGAAGAGAGAAAATATACTGACACGGTTAGTGATGGGCATCGTTTTGTACTCTGACTCAATCCACAGAAACACCGCCCCAACCCAAACCCCCAAAAGCTACCCAATCAATATTTATCTAAATGACGGTTACATTCATTAATCATACAACAAACGGCTGGGTACATGTTACAACGACCAGACTGCCACCGAAAACATTATCCCAGAAACCATGCGATAAGGAATGCCCTTTCTGCATTTGTCTCTGATCTGTTCCATTTCAAAACCAACATTGGCACGAATCTGAGACTGGTACCATCAAGTGTCTGATGTCTCTAAACGGCTTCAGCAACGCGATTAGGCGTCTCCGCTCAACCACCAACGATCCCAAACCCCGGCAGTGTTTACGCGAGAACCGCTCTACAATGGTTCTATTCAGCCACTTGCCGTCATGCAATCACTCCACCAACAATAAATACCCACATCAATTACCCAATCCTACAGAGGCAATACCTGCTGTTTAAGCAACTTCCGAAACAGTAAGTAACCGGTAGTGTTCAACGGCAATGTGGCCAATGGCGGCCAACATCAAGAGGTGTTAACTACCTATGATCAAGGCTGGCCGAGGCCTAAGTAAGTGATTATTTCTCAAGTGCTAACACCGTCGTCAGACCACACGCTGTTACGGCACATGCAACAATGAGACGACCGATGCCCAAGCATCCACGGTGGCCACAAAGTACTGGGTAATAAAGACACAACGAGGTCACATCGCTATTAAAGGTGATGCTTGTAACAGTTTGAGTCACCAGGATTCAAATTGATTTAATCGTTGCACCTGCTTCTATGTTTACTCGTTAGTGAAAGGAGCCATATATATGCCATATAAAGGTTTCACTTTAACTTCTTCAGACCGTTCCAAATTAATTGTTCTTGTACATAGATATTTCCTTATTAACCAAAGATACTTGTAACGATTGACGTAAGCAGCGAGTGATCAGTAAATGAATCGTTAACCACTTTCTTCCATGTTCACTATTTAGTGATGAACGGAGCCATATAGATGCCATATAAAGTTAGATTTCACTTATAAATATATATTTTCTTTATTATTAAGAGACGAATGTGACGACTTAACATCGCATGGATCCAGGTTATAGGAACCGTTAACTTTCGTCGATGTTTAGTCTTTAGTGATGAACAGAACTATATAGATGCCATAAAGAGGTTTCATTTTCACTACTTCAGACCGTTCAAAACTAATTGTTCTTGTAAATATATATTTCCTTATTAATCAAAGATACTTGTAACGATTGACGTAAGCATTAAGTGACTCGTTAACCACTTTCTTCCATGTTCACTATTTAGTGATGAACGGAGTCATATATAGATAACAGATGCCACATAAAGTTAGATTTCACTTTAACTACTTTAGACCGTTCAGATATATTTTTTCTTGTAAATATATTTTTGAATGTTAAGCGGAGATGCTTGTAACGACCTGACGTCACCGAAATCAAGGCTACATGAGCCGTTAACCTCTTTCGTCGATGTTTATTCTGTAGTGATGAAAGGAGCCATATAAAGATTTCACTTCAGCTACTTCAGACCGTTCAAAAATTAACTGTTGTTGTAAATATATTTTCATTAGTAGTGAGTGAGTGAGTTTAGTTTTACGCCGCACTCAGCAATATTCCAGCTATATGGCGGCGGTCTGTAAATAATCGAGTCTGGACCAGACAATCCAGTGATCAACAGCATGAGCATCGATCTGCGCAATTGGGAACCGATGACATGTGTCAACCAAGTCAGCGAGCCTGACCACCCGATCCCGTTAGTCGCCTCTTACGACAAGCATAGTCGCCTTTTGTAGCAAGCGTGGGTTGCTGAAGACCTATTCTACCCCGGATCTTCACGGG